AAGAGAGGGCATATGCACAAGAACACCCACACCTGCAGATAATACCCACTTGACCTGGCTTCAATGACTGGATGATCAGAGCTCAACTAGAAGAAAAAAGAAGAGGAAAAAAAGAGTAATCTAATACAATTTGATGAACTTGACCTACACCTATGGATGCAGTAGCTCAAAAGAGGGAACAAATCTTTACAACAGGATCATTCCCACCCCCTCCATACACAGAGTAGACAGGGATGGGCAACTTGAACATTGGCTATCCAAAATGGGGGGGCTACAAAGGCAAGAAGTGACTGGCTTACAAGCTTTCAAGAGGGAGTCTAGATCCAGAGGGCGTGGAGGAAAAGTAGAATCTCCACTGAGTAGTATCCAATCTGTCTGGGCGGAGCTGATAAAAGGAGATGCAGATAGGTCTCTTGTGATACAATAGTGAATAAGTGTTATCAGGACTGATTGCATGGGTTGGAGATGTGGGGTTGGAAATGTAAAGGTAGACGTTTTGTAGCAAAGGAGGGGAGTGACTGACTTTTCAGCCTAGGAATGGAGGTCCCTGGGACCATCAAGGGAGAAGAGCGGAGAGTGGGAACCTACCCAGAGAAGCAGTGACGCCAGAGATGGAGGCAGAGATGATGACGTGGAGAGATGGAGCGGCTGGGGACTTTATACCCATAGAGGGCAAGGGGCTGTGTGCTGATGACCAGGGCGAAGGCTTGCAGGGTATACCCTTTGATTGGTTGATGATGCATGGAGGGGATTGTAACCATGGCAATGCAATGATATACGAAAGGATGAATGTAAAGCCAATGTTCTCCCACGTAAACTATCACATAATTCACAATAAAACATTAAAAAAAAAAAGAAGATGGAAGGAATAAAGAGTCACGGTACCAAAAAGAAATGGACTATGTTCAACCATTTCAAGAGACATCTTATGAACAAGAGCCAGCAGTACTGAAATAGAATTCCAGGGTACTGGCAAAGAACAAGGCTCCAGAAATTAATGGAATACAAATTGAAATCTTTCAGCAAACTGAGGCAGCACTGGAGACATTCATCTAGGCCAAGAAATTTGGAAGACCTACCTAGCCAACTGATTGGAAGTGATCCATAAATGTGATTATTCCAAAGAAAGGTAACCCAATGGAATGTGGAAATTATCAGATAGTATCATTAATAGCAGAGTCCTGGTGTGGTGATATGAGTTAATGCGTTAGACTACAAAGTCGGTTTGAATCACAAGGTCAGCACAGCAGTTCAAGCTCACCAGCTGCTCCTCGGAAACCCTATACAGGGTTGCTATGGGTCGGAGCCGACTCGATTTAACAACAATAACAATCATTAATAGCACATGCAAATAAAATTTTGCTAAATATTCAAAAACAGCTGCAATATGGAACTGCCAGAAGTTCAAGCCTGATTCACTCGAGGACCTGGAAAGAAGCGTATCACTGCTGACATCAGATGAATCTTTGCTGAAAGGAGAGAATGCCAGAGAGATGTTTACCTGGGCTTTATTGAATATGTAAAGGCTTTTGGCTGTGTGGATCATGCATGAAAAGCTATGAACAACATTGAGAAAAATGAGACTTCAGGATCATTTAATTGTATTGATGAGGAACCTGTACTTAGACCAAGAGGCAGTTCTTTTAATAGAATAAGGGGACACTGAATAGTGTAAAATTAGGAGGTGTGCACCAGGGATGTATTTTTTTCTGTACTTATTCAATATGTATACTGAACAAATAAAATCTGAGAATCTGGGATTATATGAAGACTGTGGCATCAGGATTGGCAGAAGACTTATTAACAACTTGCAATATGTAGATGAAACAACCTTGCTTGCTAAAAGTGAAGAGAATTTGAAATACTTACTGATGAAGATCAAAGACCATAGCCTTCAGTATGGGTTGCACCTTAATGGAAAGGAAACAAAAGTCCTTACAACTGGAGCAAAGCAAAAAAAAAACAAAAACAAAAACAAAAAAACCATGCATATAAATGGAGAAAAGATTGAAATTGTCAAAGACTTCATTCATTTTGCTTAGATTCACTATCTATATTCAGGGAAGCAGCAGTCAAGAAATCAAATGATATATTGCATTAGGCAAATCTGCTGCACAAGACCTCTCTAAGTGTTCAAGAGCAAGGATGCCAGTTTAAAGACTAAGGTGCCCAAACCCAAGCCATGGTATTTTTAAATAGCTTCATATGCATGTGAAAGTTGGACAGTGAATAAGAAAGACGGTAGAAGAATTGATGCATTTGAGTTATGATGGTGGGCAAGAATATTAGAAATACCACAGACTGCTACAAGAACAAACAAATCTGTATTGGAAGAAATGTAGCCAGAATGCTCCTTAGAAGATAGGATACTTTGGACATATTATCAGGAAGGATCAGTTACTGGAGAAGGATTTAGTGCTAAATAAAGAGGAGGGTCAGCCAAAAAATGGAAGACCCCCAACAAGATGGCGTGGCACAGTGGCAACAGCATTGGATTCAAGTGTAACAATTGTGAGGATGGCACAGAACCAAGCAGTGTTTAGTTCTGTTGTGCATAAGATCACATGAGTTGGTACCAACTTTGATGGCACCTAACACCACCAACACCACCAGATGTCAGAAATCAGAGCTGAATAAGCAGACCACACCATGGAACTACAAGGATCTCATACAATTCACACAAGTAATATGAAATGTGAAGTCCTGGTATGGCGCTGAAGAACCTAGCAGTCACTCCTTAGAAACACTGTACAGGGTTACTATGAGTCAGAATCACCTAAAAAGCAGTTAACAACAACAATATGAAATGCTGAAGCAGCCCTGTGACAAAGTTGTTAAGCACTTGGGTGCTAAAAGAGAGGTTGGCAGTTTGATACCACCAGTCACTTTATAGGAGAAAGATGTGGTAGTCTGCTTCTGTAAAGATTAAGTCTTGCAAACCCTATGGTCAGTTCTATTGTGTCCTACAGCGTTGCTATCATTTGGAATTAACTCAGCAATATCCGGTTAATGTGAAATGCCAGGCAAAAAACAAATGCTATTACAAAATGCTGAAGGATGATTATTTAATTCAGTTGAAGAATATTAAAAATGAAATGTACTTAGAGATCTAATTTAAGTTTAATGACAAGTGTTTACATGAATAAAATATTTATTTATCCAGTTTTAAATATAATGCATATTACTGTAAAATTAAAATATTGTAAAAAGATACACACAGTGGAGTCACTGCCATCTCTCTCCCCAGAGGCAATTGCCTAAGCTTGTGTATTCTTCCAGAGACAGTCTACTTATATAGAAGCATACATATGGGTGTATCTCAAATAAACACTGCACTGAAAATCCTTATTTCCATTGTTGTTACTGTTAAGTGCCATTGAGTCAATTCTGACCCATAGTAACCCTGTTTAGGGTTTCCAAGGAGTGACTGGTGAGCTTGAACCCCTAACTTTGCAGTTCAAACAACTTTGCAGTCTGGTGCATTAACCCAGAGCGCCACACCAGGACTCATTTCCATTAGCAAATATAAAAGGATTTTCTCTCATATACATATATAACTAGGAGTGGGACTGTTGAAGCACACATTAGGTACCTTTTGACTTTTACAGTTTTTGCCAAATTGCTCTCCAAAGGAGTTGAAACATTTTACAGCTCCACAAATAGCACAATTCCTGTTTTCCTTTATAACTCATTAAAATTTTTTTATAATGCAATTATATTATTTGTCAACATGATGCGTGTAAAATAGTGTCTTGATTACTAAAGAGGATGAAAATTTTTATGTATTTTCAAAAGGTATTGTGTTTATTTCCCAAAGAATTGCCTGGTTGAATTGTCTACTACTGAGTTGTTACTCTTTACCTTGTTGATATGAAAATATCTTATATATTAAAGAAATTAATCTATTGATATCTACTATAAATAAATTCCAAATCTGTTGTTGTTTTTCGGCATGTAAAGTTTGAGTTATACAAATTTCTACATTTTTATGTAGTCATACAGCGATTCTTTAAAGAGCATTGGTGGCACCTCAAGATAAGCACTGGATGGCTAACTACAAGTCGGTAGTTCAAACCCACGGGAAACTCTATAGGAGAAAGATGAGGCATTCTGTTCCCATAAGGATTTACAGCCTTGGAAGCCCTATACAGGTTTGATATGAGTCAGAATTGACTCGATGACAATGGGTTTACGGTCATTTGTAATAAAAATAATTTAAAAATCAGATAGAATAGTTCCCATACCAAGAGAATTGAAAAATCATGAACAAAATCAACACATTTATAATACAAGCCCTTAAGTAGAACTCTACATATGAGATATTAGGACAAAACAGAAAATGGGGCATACCCAAATGAGGAGTCTCTGTGAAGAATGTCAACAAGTTTCCGTTTAATATCATTTTCCAACGTTTCTAAATGTTGCTGTTGTATAAGGCTTCTGTCAACTTGAGGAGTTGAATAAAGGATATCAAATGGAGGAGAAGGAAAATCAACCTTAAAAATTTTAACAGAAGTCAATTACATTACAATTGCATAATTTACATATTTTCCATATTAACCTTTCTGAGGAAAATTAATTTTTCTCAGCGATGTGACTTTTAGATTGAAAATTAAATTAGTACTTATTGTTCTTTTGTTGAAAGTGATAACTACTGTTGGTAATTCTAAATAGCACATACACTGATTAGGATGGGAGCAAGTGCATTTTTTTAGTTGTTTTTCAGAAATTAGTATGGTTTATTGGCACTTAAATCAATGAGGCTCATTTGAAAAGGATACAAGTAAAGGTGTATACACATACTTTCTGAGTAACTAGAAGTAAATTTAAACCTCCTCACATGTCAAGCAGCAGCATTACCTGTAGCACTATTCTTTCCATCACATACCCTTTTTTGGGTACTGTTCCAGGAGTAGTATTTGTATGTGATGATGTCCAAAGATACAGTAGCTTAGTTCCACATGTTAAAAACCTTCAAGAATGTAAACAGAAGAATATCTATGATTTTCATTTAAAAAATTTATTCAAAATTCACAACACATTGTAAGGTATTTGAAATGTAAGTATTCAAACATTTATTAAGTTTTTATTTATTATATACAAAGTGGAATCCTGGTCTGGTGCTGTAGGAAAGCACTGGATTGCTAACTGCAAGGCCAGCAATTCAAACTTATCAGCTGCTCCTTGGAAACCCTATACAGGTCACTATCAGTCAGACTCGACTGATAGCACTTAATAACAGTAACATATAAAAAGAGTATCATCTTTAATAACAAATTAGAAAGATTTCAATAGTTTACTGAGACTTTAGGTAAATATACTGAAGTAACAAGTGGGAACTAAGGAAGACAGAATGAAAGAAAGCATGTTGGGAAGAATGGAGTTGAGGTGAGAGTGCAAGATGGGTAAAGGCTCAGTCACATGTAGTGTGACAAAGAAACAAAAGCAAGTACATCAGCTGTTCCTCAAGAGATAGATGAGGCTTTCTGCTCCAGTAAACATGTACAGCCTCAGAAACCCTATACAGGGTCGTTATGAGTCGGTACTGACTTTACAGCACATAACCACCAACCAACCAAGGATACTAGGAAGGCAAAGGACAGTCTTAGGAGATTTTCTATAAAGGAATACATCTCAGGGTAGTTTGGATTACAAAATTCTCCCTGGCTTTTATCATCAGAACAAAACATGTAGGCTGAGAAAACAAGGACCTACTTAGTGGCAAAGCACCAACCATTTAAGATGATAAGTTACATTTGTGCCCTAGACTAGGGGTCAGCAAAGGTTTTCTGTAAAGGGTCAGATAGTAAATATTTTAGTCTTTGTGGAGTATAGGGCCTTTGTAGCAAATACTCAACTGTGCCGTTATGGTGCAAAAGTAGCCATGAACAATATGTAAATGAATATGCATGCTATGTTCTAAAAACATTTTATTTACAAAAGCAGGTAGTGGATTGGGAGTTCACCAATACATGCCCTAGACTACTAATTTAAGGCCTAATTAGCATATTTATTATAGTAAACGTTTTGACATATCTTTGCATGTAAGAGATTTCTGAAAACCAACACCACATACATAAAAGTAGAAAACTACAAATTTTTCCAATCTTTGTTCATTTTATTTAAACAGCAAATACTTTCTAAAACTAGATTATCTTCATGCTTTCTTGACAGAGTAACAGTCTGAAACTTTTTATACAATATAATCTGTCATTTTTAGAATCATGCTCACTCCCACTAGATTTTCAAATTCTAATATTATTTAATCTGTACATAATATATCTCTAAATACACATTGTGTTTGCTTTTAAAATAAGTACAATATCGTTGTTGTTGTTGTTGTTGTTGTTAAGTGCCGTCGAGTTTGTTCCGAACCATAGTGACTAAAGTTGCCAATCCTTGTCTTAATCTTATACATTGTCCCTACCTGTTTTTTACCTTGCCATTTATTTGTTTAAGAGACAAATAATTCAGTTCTGCAGAATTTCCTCCATATATTTTTTTAAAGGAATACCCTTGTTCACCTCAGGAATATTACTTAGAAGAAAATTAGAATATTCAGGTGAAAGGCCAGGCAAATAACACCAAAAGTGGTTGTTGTTGTTAAGTGCCGTCGAGTCGGTTCCGACCCATAGCGACCCTGTACAGGGTTTCCGAGGGTGTAAATCTTTACGGGAGTAGAAAGCCTGATCTTTCTCCCATGGAGCAGCTGGTAGTTTCGAACCGCTGACCTTAAGGTTTGCAGCCTGATTCATAACCACTACGCTACCAGAGCTCCTACCAAAAGTGGTAAGTAGGCAAAAAGCTCCAAAGAAATTCCTTTATCCCTAGATAAGGAAATTAACTCCTATAGAGGATTTTTGGACATATGTGGGGCCACTGGAAATTAAAGACCAGGAGACCAGACAGTAAGGGCTGAATCAGACAAGTAAAGAAGTAAAGGAAAGGAATAATGTGCAATGAAGACTCCAAAAAGTAGAGAAAGTTGAGAAGGAGTTATAAACAAAAACTGAGGTCATACTTAATATCAAGGAGTTATATCAATAACACAGTGCCTTACATAAATAAGGACTGGGGTACTGTGAGCTAATGCACTTTGAGTTGCAAGGTTGGCTTGAACGCTAGGTCCACAGTCCAAGCTCATCAGCTACTCCATGGAAACCCTATATAGGGGTGGTATATGAGTCGGAAGCCACTCGATGGCACTTAACAACAACAACAGGTAGCAAATGGTTAAAGTGTTCAGTCGTTAATTGAAAGGTTGGACATTCGAACCCAGCAAGGAACTCTGAAGGAGAAAGATGTGTCACTGTGTTTCTGTAAAGATTTAGAGCCTTGAAACCCTTTGAGTCAGTTCTAGAGAGTTGTGTGTTGGAATCAACTTCATAGTAATGAGTTTGGTATATGGTTACATAAATGACAAAGAATAAATTAATTCTCCTGAAACAATGAGCAGCAGATATGCTCAAACTACAGTAGAATAACCTTGGTTTTCTCTGATCTGTGCCACTGAACTATCACAATGGGAAATGTAGTGCTTACGAATCGGGCTGCTACCCTCAGGGTCAGCAGTTCGAAACTATCAGCAGTTCCCACAGGAGAAAGATCAGGCTTTCTGCTCCCGTAGAGATTTACAGCCTCACAAACCCTGTATAGGGTCGCTATGAGTTGGAACCAACTCCACGGCACATAACCACCACCACCACCACCTTAGCAAATGTACAAGGAAACTTCAAAAAGTTTGTGGAACACTATATTATCTTTTAATTTCATCCTTATACAAACTTTCTGAAGCTTCCTCATTTGTCATTATCTCCCATCTTGTCCTCTAGCCAATTCTGATGCTGTGTTCACAGTAACTCATTTTCACAACTCAGTAATACTTACCGTTTAAAGTCAAAAAGAGGTAAGGAAACTTTGCCCAAAGTTTCCGGCCCCTTTCTTTGCTTATTAGAATCAGGCGAACTTCCACTGCTCTGATTCAAAATCCCAAAGAGTGTAAGGTGAAGAAGTGATTCTAGTGGCAACTGTGATATCTGGATGGGAAAAAGGATTCTACAAGGAGAAGAATATATTAATACAAAGAACAAATTAGGTTGAATGTTAAGTTTAACTCTTCAGTGAGACTGAACTATTTAGGTATTTTATTTAACAAATTATCTATAATCTTCAATGTCTTTAGCTAAATAGCAAGCCTAGCTTACTATTAAAATTTTTAAATAAGCAAATTTCAGTAACAATATAAAAATTTAAAATATATTTGTTCCTTACAAATGTATAAATGCCTTTTACAGAAGAAGTGCAATGTCAATTTCCAGGCAAATTAACAGCAATTAACATTATTTCCTTTAGCAAAAACTAGATGAATGTTTCTGATTTATTTTGTTTGGGGATGTATAATCACATACATGTACAAACAGACATATATGTTTACCATTGTGTGTGTATATATATATATGTATACACATATATATTTTTAAGCCAACAAGGACACACATGCTCAACAGTGGTCACTCTGAGGAGGCCACAGATGTTAAGTGTTGAAAACTGGTGACATTTTTTACCTTCTAAGTAGTTCTGTATTATTTGACTGACATATCCATGATGGCACAGTGATTAAGCATGGGACTGCTAACTGAAAGGTCAGTAGTTCAAACCTACCAGCTGTTCTAAAGGAAAAGTTGTGGGAGTCTGCTTCCTAATGATTTACAGACTTAGAAACACTATCAGTCAATTCTAGTCTATCCTATTGTGTCACTATGAGTTGGAATAAATGTGATGGCAATGAATGGAGTGATGATTATTTGATTG